TAGGAATAACGGGAATGGGAATGGGAATGGGATTGGGAACGGGGCAGGAATAACGGGAATGGTGGGGATGGGATTGGGAACGGGGCAGGAATAACGGGAATGGGAACGGGCGGTGCCGGGATGCCGGAGGTCAATGGGACGGAAAGGGAGCAAAGCCGGGATCTCAGGATCCGGGATCTCGGGATCTGGGATCACCGGGATCTGGCATCACCAGGATCTGGGATCACCAGGATCTGGGATCACCGGGATCTGGGATCACCGGGATCTGGGATCTTGGGATCTGGGATCACCAGGATCTGGGATCACCGGGATCTGGGATCACCAGGATCTGGCATCACCAGGATCTGGGATCCCGGGGTTTGGGACGGGAGAGGGGCAGGGAAGGGCCTGGAGCCGGGATCTCGGGATTTGGGATCTCTGGGATTTGGGATCACCGGGATCTGGGATCACCGAGATTCGGGATCACCAGGATTTGGGATCTCCCATCAATGGGATGGGAAGGGCCTGGGTTTGGGATCACTGGGACCCAGGATCTCCAGGATTTGGGATCTCTGGGATTTGGGATCACCAGGATCTGGGATCACCGGGATCTGGGATCACCGGGATTTGGGATCTCTGGGATTTGGGATTTCTGGGATTTGGGATCTCTGGGATTTGGGATCAGCGGGATTTGGGATTTCTGGGATTTGGGATCTCTGGGATTTGGGTTCTCTGGGATTCGGGATCACCGGGATCTGGGATCACCAATAATTGGGATGGGAAAGGCCTGGGATTGGGATTTCCATGATTTGGGATTTCCAGGATCTGGGATCACCGGGATTCGGGATCTCTGGGATTCAGGATCACCGGGATCCCTTAACTCTGGGATTTGGGATCTCTGGGATTTGGGATCTCTGGGATTTGGGATCTCTGGGATTCAAGATCAGCAGGATTTGGGATTTCTGGGATTCGGGATTTCTGGGATTCGGGATCACCGGGATTCGGGATCTCTGGGATTCAGGATCACCGGGATTCCTTAACTCTGGGATTTGGGATCTCTGGGATTTGGGATCTCTGGGATTTGGGATCTCTGGGATTCAGGATCACCGGGATTCCTTAACTCTGGGATTTGGGATCTCTGGGATTTGGGATCAGCGGGATTTGGGATCTCTGGGATTTGGGATCACTGGGACTTGGGATCTCTGGGATTCGGGATCTCTGGGATTTGGGATCAGCGGGATTTGGGATTTCTGGGATTTGGGATTTCTGGGATTTGGGATCTCTGGGATTTGGGATCAGCGGGATTTGGGATTTCTGGGATTTGGGATCTCTGGGATTTGGGATCTCTGGGATTCAGGATCACCGGGATTTGGGATCTCCGGGATTCGGGATCAGCAGGATTCGGGATCACCGGGATTCGGGATCAGCGGGATTTGGGATTTCTGGGATTTGGGATCTCTGGGATTCGGGATCAGCAGGATTTGGGATTTCTGGGATTCGGGATCAGCGGGATTTGGAATCAGCGGGATTTGGGATTTCTGAGATTTGGGATCTCCGGGATTCGGGATCTCCGGGATTCGGGATCAGCGGGATTCGGGATCAGCGGGATTTGGGATCTCTGGGATTCGGGATCAGCAGGATTCGGGATCAGCGGGATTTGGGATCTCTGGGATTTGGGATCAGCGGGATTCGGGATCAGCGGGATTCGGGATCTCTGGGATTCGGGATCAGCGGGATTCGGGATCAGCGGGATTTGGGATCAGCGGGATTCGGGATCAGCGGGATTCGGGATCTCTGGGATTTGGGATCTCTGGGATTTGGGATCTCTGGGATTCGGGATTTCTGGGATTCGGGATCACCGGGATTCGGGATCACAGGGATTCTGGATCACCGGGATTTGGGATCAGCGGGATCCGGGATCACCAATCAACGGGATGGGAAGGACGTGAACATCGGGATTTGGGATGGGAAACGCCGGGACTTGGGATCACCGGGATTCGGGATCTCTGGGATTTGGGATCAGCGGGATTTGGGATCTCTGGGATTTGGGATCACTGGGACTTGGGATCTCTGGGATTCGGGATCTCTGGGATTTGGGATCAGCGGGATTTGGGATTTCTGGGATTTGGGATTTCTGGGATTTGGGATCTCTGGGATTTGGGATCAGCGGGATTTGGGATTTCTGGGATTTGGGATCTCTGGGATTTGGGATCTCTGGGATTCAGGATCACCGGGATTTGGGATCTCCGGGATTCGGGATCAGCAGGATTCGGGATCACCGGGATTCGGGATCAGCGGGATTTGGGATTTCTGGGATTTGGGATCTCTGGGATTCGGGATCAGCAGGATTTGGGATTTCTGGGATTCGGGATCAGCGGGATTTGGAATCAGCGGGATTTGGGATTTCTGAGATTTGGGATCTCCGGGATTCGGGATCTCCGGGATTCGGGATCAGCGGGATTCGGGATCAGCGGGATTCGGGATCTCTGGGATTCGGGATCAGCGGGATTCGGGATCAGCGGGATTTGGGATCAGCGGGATTCGGGATCAGCGGGATTCGGGATCAGCGGGATTCGGGATCTCTGGGATTTGGGATCTCTGGGATTCGGGATCACCGGGATTCGGGATCACCGGGATCCGGGATCTCCGGGATTCGGGATCAGCAGGATTCGGGATCAGCGGGATTTGGGATCTCTGGGATTCGGGATCAGCAGGATTCGGGATCTCTAGAATTTGGGATCAGCAGGATTGGGGATCTCTGGGATTTGGGATCAGCGGGATTCGGGATCTCTGGGATTTGGGATCTCTGGGATTCGGGATCAGCGGGATTCGGGATCAGCGGGATTGGGGATCTCTGGGATTTGGGATCTCTGGGATCCGGGATCAGCAGGATGTGGGATCGGGATTCGGGATCAGCGGGATTCGGGATCTCTGGGATTCAGGATCAGCGGGATCCAGGATCAGCGGGATTCGGGATCAGCGGGATCACCAATCAACGGGATGGGAAGGACGTGAACATCGGGATTTGGGATGGGAAACGCCCGGGTCTGGGATCACCGGGATTCGGGGATGAAGGGATGGAGCTGGGATGGAAAATCCCCGGATCCGGGAGATCGGAGTCAGCGCCGGGAAGGAGCCGGATCCCCCCGGGATTGGCGGGAAGGAGCCGGCTCCGGAAGGCCGGGAGGGCGGGAATTCCCCGGGAATGCCGGGAATTCCAGGGAATTCCGGGAATACCTGGTGCAGCGCCGTCAGCCCGTCCTCGTTGCACAGGTCGGGGCTGATCCCGCTCTCCAGGAACTGCCGGACTGCGGGGGGACGGGAAGGGAGTGGGAATTCCCGCCGGGAATGCCGGGGGAATCCCAGGGGAGCATCCCGAGGGACGTCCCAAGGGTCCCGGTGGGAATTCCAGGGATCCCGGTGGGAATTCCAGGGATCCCAGTGGGAATTCCAGGGATCCCAGGGGGAATTCCACGAATTCTAATGGAAATCCCAAGGATTTCAATGGAAATCCCAAAAATCCCAAAAGGAATTCCAAGAATTCCAGTGGAAATTCCAGGGATCCCAGTGGGAATTCCACCAATGATCCCAACGGAAATCCCAAGGATCCCAACAGAAATTCCAATGGAAATTCCACGAATTCTAATGGAAATTCCAAGGATTTCAGTGGAAAATTCCAAGAATCCCAAAAGGAATTCCAAGAATTCCAGTGGAAATTCCAGGGACCCCAGTGGGAATTCCAGGGATCCCAGTGGGAATTCCACGAATTCTAATGGAAATTCCAAGGATTTCAATGGAAATTCCAGGGATCCCAGTGGAAATTCCAAGAATTCCAGTGGAAATTCCAGGGACCCCAGTGGAAATTCCAAGGATCCCAGTGGGAATTCCAAGAATTCTAATGGAAATTCCAAGGATTTCAATGGAAATCCCAAGAATCCCAAAAGGAATTCCAATAGAAATTCCAGGGATCCCAGTGGAAATTCCAGGGATCCCAGGGGGAATTCCACCAAGGATCCCAGTGGGAATTCCACGAATTCTAATGGAAATTCCAAGGATTTCAATGGAAATCCCAAGAATCCCAAAAGGAATTCCAAGAATTCCAGTGGAAATTCCAGGGATCCCAGTGGAAATCCCAGGGATCCCAGTGGGAATTCCACCCATGATCCCAACGGAAATCCCAAGGATCCCAACAGAAATTCCAATGGAAATTCCTCGGATTCCAGTGGAAATTCCAGAGATTTCAATGGAAATTCCAAGAATCCCAAAAGGAATTCCAAGAATTCCAGTGGAAATTCCAGGGATCCCAGTGGGAATTCCACGAATTCTAATGGAAATTCCAAGGATTTCAATGGAAATCCCAAGGATCCCAAAAGGAATTCCAATAGAAATTCCAGGGATCCCAGTGGGAATTCCAGGGATCCCAGGGGGAATTCCACCAATGATCCCAGTGGGAATTCCACGAATTCTATTGGAAATTCCAAGGATTTCAATGGAAATCCCAAGAATCCCAAAAGGAATTCCAAGAATTCCAGTGGAAATTCCAGGGATTTCAGTGGAAAATTCCAAGAATTCCAGTGGAAATTCCAGGGATCCCAGTGGGAATTCCACCCATGATCCCAACGGAAATCCCAAGGATCCCAACAGAAATTCCAATGGAAATTCCTCGGATTCCAGTGGAAATTCCAGGGATTTCAGTGGAAAATTCCAAGAATCCCAAAAGGAATTCCAAGAATTCCAGTGGAAATTCCAGGGATCCCAGTGGGAATTCCAGGGATCCCAGGGGGAATTCCACCAATGATCCCAACGGAAATCCCAAGGATCCCAACAGAAATTCCAATGGAAATTCCACGGATTCCAGTGGAAATTCCAGGGATTTCAGTGGAAAATTCCAAGAATCCCAAAAGGAATTCCAAGAATTCCAGTGGAAATTCCAGGGATCCCGGTGGGAATTCCAGGGATCCCAGTGGGAATTCCACGAATTCTAATGGAAATTCCAAGGATTTCAATGGAAATCCCAAGAATCCCAAAAGGAATTCCAAGAATTCCAGTGGAAATTCCAGGGATCCCAGTGGGAATTCCAGGGATCCCAGGGGGAATTCCACCAATGATCCCAACGGAAATCCCAAGGATCCCAACAGAAATTCCAATGGAAATTCCACGAATTCTAATGGAAATTCCAAGGATTTCAGTGGAAAATTCCAAGAATCCCAAAAGGAATTCCAAGAATTCCAGTGGAAATTCCAGGGACCCCAGTGGAAATTCCAAGGATCCCAGTGGGAATTCCACGAATTCTAATGGAAATTCCAAGGATTTCAATGGAAATCCCAAGGATCCCAAAAGGAATTCCAATAGAAATTCCAGGGATCCCAGTGGAAATTCCAGGGATCCCAGTGGAAATTCCAAGAATTCCAGTGGAAATTCCAGGGATCCCAGTGGAAATTCCAGGGATCCCAGTGGGAATTCCACCAATGATCCCAACGGAAATTCCAATGGAAATTCCTCAGATTCCAGTGGAAATTCCAGGGATTTCAGTGGAAAATTCCAAGAATCCCAATGGGATCATGGAGTATCCCAATGGGAATTCCAAGGATCCCAATGGGAATTCCAGGGATTCCAGTGGGAATTCCAGGGATTCCAATGGGAATTCCAACAGAACCACCAGGAATCCCAATGGAATGATGGAGCATCCCAATGGAAATCCCAAGGATTCCAATGGAAATTCCAGTGGGAATTCCTAGGATCCCAATGGCAATTCCAATGGAAATTCCAAGACACCCAATGGAAATTCCAAGGATTCCACTGGGAATTCCAATGGAAATCCCAAGGATCCCAATGGGAATTCCAAGGCCATCAACAGCAATTCCAAGGATTCCAGTGGAATCATGGATTATCCCAGTGGAAATCCCAAGGTTTCCAATGGGAACCACCAGGAATCCCAATGGAATCATGGAATATCCCAATGGCAGTTCCAAGGATTCCAGTGGAAATTCCAATGGAAATTCCAAGACACCCAATGGAAATTCTCCCAATGGGAATTCCAAGGATTCCACTGAAAATTCCAAGGATCCCAACGGAAATTCCAATGGAAATTCCAAGACACCCAATGGAAATTCCAGTGGAAATTCCAAGCATTCCATGGGACATTCCAAGGATCCCAATGGAAATTCCAATGGAAATCCCAATGGAAATTCCAATGGAAATTCCATGGATCTCAATAGAAATTTCAATGGAAATTCCGATGGAAATTCCGATGGAAATTCCAAGACACCCAGCAGAAATTCCAGTGGAAATTCCAATTCCAAGGATCCCAACGGAAATTCCAATGGAAATTCCAACGGAAATTCCAATGGAAATTCCAATGGGAATTCCACTGGGAATTCCAATGGAAATTCCAAGGATCCCAACAGAAATTCCAAGGATCCCAATGGAGATTCCAATGGAAATTCCAATGGAAATTCCAAGACACCCAATGGAAATTCCAAGGATTCCTGTGGAAATTCCACGGGAAATTTCAAGGATTTCAACAGAAATTCTAAGGATCTCAATGGAAATTCCAATGGAAATTCCAAGGATCCCAATGGAAATTCCAATGGAAATCCCAATGTAAATTCCAGTGGAAATCCCAATGGAAATTCCAATGGAAATTCCAATGGAAATTCCAATGATTCCACTGGAAATTCCAAGGATCCCAATGGAGATTCCAATGGAAATTCCAATGGAAATTCCAATGGAAATTCCAAGGATCCCAACGGAAATTCCAATGGAAATTCCAATAGAAATTCCAATGGAAATTCCAATGGAAATTCCAAGGATCCCAATGGAAATTCCAATGGAAATTCCAGTGGAAATTCCCAGGATCCCAATGGAAATCCCAATGGAAATTCCAGTGGAAATTCCCAGGATCCCAATGGAAATGCCAATGGAAATTCCAGTGGAAATTCCCAGGATCCCAATGGAAATTCCAGTGGAAATTCCAATAGAAACTACAATGGAAATTCCAATGGAAATTCCAGTGGAAAGGATCCCAATGGAAATTCCAGTGGAAATTCCAATAGAAACTACAATGGAAATTCCAATGGAAATTCCAAGACACCCAATGGAAATTCCAGTGGAAATTCCCAGGATCCCAATGGAAATCCCAATGGAAATTCCAGGGATCCCAATGGAAATCCCAATGGAAATTCCAGTGGAAATTCCAAGGATCCCAATGGAAATCCCAATGGAAATTCCAGTGGAAATTCCCAGGATCCCAATGGAAATCCCAATGGAAATTCCAATGGAAATCCCAATGGAAATTCCAATAGAAATTCCAATGGAAATTCCAGTGGAAATTCCCAGGATCCCAACGGAAATGCCAATGGAAATTCCAATAGAAACTACAATGGAAATTCCAATGGAAATTCCAAGACGCCCAATGGAAATTCCAGTGGAAATTCCCAGGATCCCAATGGAAATGCCAATGGAAATGCCAATGGAAATTCCCAGGATCCCAATGGAAATGCCAATGGAAATGCCAATGGAAATTCCAAGGATCCCAATAGAAATGCCAATGGAAATGCCAATGGAGATTCCAAGACACCCAATGGAAATTCCAATGGAAATTCCCAGGATCCCAATGGAAATTCCAGTGGAAATTCCAATAGAAACTACAATGGAAATTCCAATGGAAATTCCAAGACACCCAATGGAAATTCCAGTGGAAATTCCCAGGATCCCAATGGAAATCCCAGTGGAAATTCCAAGGATCCCAATGGAAATTCCAATGGAAATTCCAATGGAAATTCCAATGGAAATTTCAAGGATTCCAATGGAAATTCCAAGGATCCCAATGGAAATTCCAATGGAAATTCCAATGGTCCCACTGGAAACTCCAAGGCTCCACCTCCCCATTCCCATTCCCATTCCCATTCCCATTCCCATTCCCATTCCCATTCCCATTCCCGTTTCCTTCCCACACCAAACCCAAACCCCCCCGGGGGGGAGGGGGTGGGGAAGGAAATTCCTCCAATTTTTTTTCTCCCCCCCCTCACCTTCCTCGGCGTCGCGCCGCGCCGCCGCTTCCAGGAGCCGGACGCTGGCCGGGAACGTCACCCTCTTCCCGCTCTTCCTCCTCCTCCTCCTCCTCCTCTCGCTCCCCGCTCCCGCTGCCGGCGTTTCCTTCTCCGCCTGCGCCCACTTGCGCAGCTGCTGCGCCCGGCGCTTCTGCGCGTGCCGCAGCCGCTCCGGTGTGCTGAGCCGGGAAACCGCCGGCATCTCCGCCAGCAGCTCCTGGTGCTCCGCCATGAGCCCGGAATTCCCGGGGAAACCTCGGGAATGAGGGCCGGGAGCATCACCCCCGCCGGTTGCCGGCGGGTTTTTATCCCTCTATCCCGGGATCCGGAGAGGATCGGGGTTTTGGGAGCATTTCCCGTTGGTTTTGGTTCCCTTTCCCAGGGTGGGATTCGCGGCGGATCCGATGGTTTGGTGGGAATTTTTTCCTTCTTTGGCGATTCCCGGGTTTTTTTTCCTGGGAAGGCGCCGTGGGATGAATCCTAAGGATTTAAAAAAAAAAAAATATTTGGGATTGTTAAATCCAGGGAGAGGCCCAAGCCAAGGCCGGTTTTCCCGGTTTTCCTAATCCGGGATTGACCTCGAATCCAACCGGAATTCCCAAGATTCCCAACCCAAAAAACCTAAAAAAAACCCCAAAAAAACAACCCTTGGAGATCGCAGATTTTTTTGGGGGGGGGTGATTTTTTTTTTGGGAACAGATCACCGGGAAAAATCGATCCAGAAGGGGATCCAGGAGAATTCCGGGAGCGGAAAAACCGGGAGCGCCTCCGCCCCCGAGGGCAGGGCCGGGCGGATTCCGGAGGATTCCGGCGGAGCGAGATTCCCAAGGCGGGTTCTTCCCTCCCCGGAGAGGGCAAAGTCCGGCCAGGGGGAAAAGTGGGGGAAAGAATTCCCTTAATCCCGGGGTAAATCCCTTTGGAATGCCGAGGGAAAAGCCGGGGAGAGAGGGGAGGGGGATGGATCCCGTCGGGATTCCGGATCCCTGGGAAAACGGATCCTCAGCTCGTTTAAAAAATTCCACGAATGGCAAATTCCCAGGAAAAAAGCCCCCAAAATTCCCTGAAACAGCTTCCAAAAATTCCCAGGAACAGCTCCCAAAATTCCCTGGAAATAGGCCCAAAATTCCCTAGAAAAAGACCCAAAAATCCCAGAAAAATCCTCCAAAATTCCCAAAAAAATCCCCCAAAATTCCTTGGAAACAGCCTCCAAAAATTCACAGAAAAATCACCCAAAATTCCCAGGAAAAGCCCCCAAACTGCCTGGAAAAAGACACAAAATTCCCAGAAAAATCCCCCAAAATTCCCTGGAAAAAGCCCCCAAAATTCCCTGAAAAATCCCTCAAAATTCCCAGGAAAAGACCGAAAATTCCCAGAAAAATCCTCCCAGATTCCCAGAAAAATCCCCCAAAATTCCCTGGAAACAGCCTCAAAATTCCCAGAAAAAGACCCAAAAATTCCCAGAAAAATCCTCCAAAATTCCCAGAAAAATCCCTCAAAATTCCCAGAAAAATACCTCAAAATTCCCAGAAAAATCCCCCAAAATTCCCAGAAAAAGACCCAAAATTCCCAGAAAAAGCCTCCAAAAATTCCCAGAAAATCCCCCAAAATTCCCACAAAAAAACCCCCAAAATTCCCTGGAAACAGCCTCAAAATTCCCAGAAAAATCCCCCAAAATTCCCAGAAAAATCCCCCAAAATTCCCAGGAAAAGCCCCCAAAAATTCCAGGGGTTTGGGAATCCGGGAATTCGCCACCGGATCCCGTCGGGCTCTGGCTCCGGCCAATTTCCCTTTCAAATTTCCTTTTCCAAAAGCCAACTCCTGATCTTTTATTTATCGGGATTTACGTAAATCCGCCGGGACGAATTCGGTGTCACCCCAGGGCCACCCCCACCCCCCGGGTCCCCAAAAAACGGGGACAATCCACCCCAAATCCTGGGATTTGTCCCCAAACTTCCCCTGAGGGGACCCCAATGTCCCCAAACCACCCCAAATCCTGGGGTTTGTCCCCAAACCCCACCTGAGGGGACCCCAATGTCCCAAATCCACCCCAAATCCTGGGATTTGTCCCCAAAGTCCCCTCAAATCCAAGAATTTGTCCCCAAATCCCTCCTGAGGGGACCCCAATGTCCCCAAACCACCCCAAATCCAGGAATTTGTCCCCAAAGTCCCCTCAAATCCAAGAATTTGTCCCCAAACCCCTCCTAAGGGGACCCCAATGTCCCCAACCCACCGCAAATCCAGGAATTTTTTCCCAATGTCCCCCCTGAGGGTTCCCAAATGTCCCCTCACCGCCCCCACAATGTCCCCAAACTCCGCTCACCGCCCCCACAATGTCCCCAAACTCCGCTCACCGCCCCCACAATGTCCCCAAATGT